CCCCCATTCCATCTCATGTAACCCCTTTCCAATCCTATCGCCAAAACCAAAATTCAGACCCCAAGTTACAACTCATCCTTCGCCACCCCATCGATCCCCACCAACTCCGTCTCGAAGATCAACGTCGCCCCGCCGGGGATCGGGCCCACGCCGCGACTCCCATACCCGTACTCGGGGGGGATGGTCAACGTGCGCTTCTCGCCGATGCACATGTCGAGAAGGCCTTGGTCCCAACTACACGCCAAAGAAGTTAGCTTGTTGCTGTCTGTCTGTCTGTCTTGCCCAATGCATCTCCAGCGCAATCCAGCCCAGCGCAAATCCACTTGACCCAACCCAACTACCCAGCTCCAACACCCCCATCCAACTCAATCTGCTAATGAGAGGGGAAAGAAAGGCCAAAAAAAACTCACCCCTTAATCACCCGCCCAGCCCCCAACTTGAACACCAACGGCTGCCCGCGCTTGTAGCTGGCGTCGAACTCGGCGCCGTCCGCCGCCAGCGTGCCGCGGTAGTGCATGTGCACCGTGTCGCCGCTCTGGGTCTTGCGGCTGCATTCGACGGGGTGGGTGACTTCGATGCCGAGGTCGGATGAGGCCGCCCAGGTGGTGGTGAATGTGGCCGTTAGGGCGGTGAGGGCGAGGGCGAGGAAGTGCATTTTGTTTGGGGAGGTTGGTAGGTTGTTTGGTGGTTTGGTGGGTTGAGGGATTTGGAGGATTTGGGGGGGAGGTAATGGTCGTGGTAGTGGTGGTGAGGTTGAAAGGAAGTTATGGGTTACGTACGTTTTATGTTCTCTGGGGGCGGCAGTGGAGGTGCCAATGGAGAGTGATCGGTGGGTGGCGGGCGGTGTTCCGCTCCCGGGAGGGGTTGGACTTGGACTAGGACTAGGGTGCTTTTGTTCGGTACTGACCACCTACCACGTACCACTACTACCGACGGGATCAGTGGGTGGTTGTTTTCTCTCAAATAAGGCAGGGGTCTGCTCATTCTTGAACAGAACAAAGTGTATTGGACAATGGTAATCTTGTCAATACTACCTATTAATTGTCGCGCGAGGTGTGTGGACAGCATAGTCAGTTGATATATTCTATGAGTGGTGCTATATCTATATCCATATATATCACAGTCACAAATCCAGGGTATCATTGTCTAAAGCAACATCAGTTTCCCCCCAACTCAATCCATCGCATCCAACTCATTCCCCTCTCCAAAACTCTCTGTCTCCGTCTCCGCCACCAAGATCCCAACCAAACACTCCCCCAGAATCGCATCCCAATTCACCCACGGATGGATCTCCATGAACAGCTGTCCGGAATCCTTGCCCACCCCGCGCAGCAACTCCCCTTTCCCGCCCGGGTGGAACGGCAGATACGGCGTGATATTGTACACCTTCCCCTGGTAGGACGTCCACGCGTCGGCCCCCTTGCGCCCGTTCTGCGCCTTGAGCATCGACGGCGTCACCCGGATCAGCGTCGGGGGCAGGTTCTTGCCCCGGAGGTTGTTGTTCGGGTTGGATGTCAGGGCCGCCCAGTCCAGCGGCGAGTACCCCGGTTGGAGGATGTGCTTGTTCTTGTTCGACGACGCGGAGGACGAGAGCGGCTTCACAACCAGTTTGGTCGGCGCGAGGGAAGAGGGGGAGGTGCGGCTCGGCGGCGCGCGGAGGGACGAGGCTGCGGATGGGGGTGGGCGGAGGGAGCCTGCTGGCCCCGCGGCGGAGTTTGTTGGGCGCGGAAGGTAGCGTCCTGCCGTCAGGGAGGATGATAGTGATGGCTGTGGCTGCTGTTGGGCTGCGGTTGGGCGGAGTCGGGGGAGAGGTGGCGGAGGCATAGACGTGGTTTTGGCGGAAGTAGTCAAAGCTGTCGCGGACGGTTGGGAGGAGGGAGGGGTGATTTGTGGAACCGGTAGCGGTGGCGGAGGCATGAGACTTCCATTGCTTGGTTTAGGTCGGAAGGCTGTTGCTATTGCTGCTGTTGCTGTTGCTGCTGTTGCTGGTGCTGCTGTTGCTGGTGCTGCTGTTGCTGCTGCTGTCGCTGTTGTCGATGGAGGGGATAAGGGGTCTAGCGGTCCATTGTGGCGGGATTGATGGACTTGCGCGACATCTGGTTTGGTCTCGTTGTCCAGGCGTAAGGACGGTATCTCAACAGAAGGCACGTACGTCGCAGAGGCTTTGGGAGTGCTTTGGGTATCTTCTACAGGGACATCGGGCTCGAGAGTCTCTGCAGCGTCCCTGGTGCTCTCGGTAGTAGGCGGTTTCGCGGATGTCTTCTCAGGCAGAGATTCAGGCTGAGGCTGAGGCGCCCAGGTAGCAGGCGGATGTCGGTAAATAAGATAGCATGCAGCTGCAATCAGCGTTGCGACTCCGACCCAGCCCATGCTAGGCAGTGATACAATCGGGTGAGTCGTGGCAAGGGAAGGGAGGAGGCAAGCAGACAGAAAGGAACAATTATGCGGAGGGGAAAGCTGAAAATGACGCCGAAACGCCGCCTATCGGCACGTGGTCCCTGCGTCGGCCCCTGATCGCCGCCTCAGGAATCCTCTCGCCTCCGCCGCGGCCAACACTATCGACTACATTATTAATCACAATATTGCTTAGCAACTTCACTTCAGAAGGAAAGCACAAAGGAGAACGAGGAAAAAGAAGCGAGTTACCGAATACCATGCCATATTCCTGCAATTTATCAGTCATATCGGGCTTGTTACGAGCCGTATCGGTATTACTACTTCATGGGTCTATTGTTGCTCCCTTGATTGTTCGTACGTGTTACTCAAAGGAGCGAAACGTGAAGAGGGGGGAAGTACAGCGACCAAAGGCTTTTTCCAGCAACATATAATAATATCGACACGAAGTCTCGGCGTTGAGTCAAAGAACAAAGATGACTACATCAAGACAAACCGCATTGGTTAGACAAAGCAGTGCCTCAGGACTCCTTACAATGGTTGATGTGAACCAGGGTACCACTCTAGAACCAAACTACAACTATCAGATATCACCAATCAGGAATAGATACGATAACATTGGTATGTACACTCGAAACAGAAAATAGGAGTTGGATGGTGTTCACAGTAGTCCGGCAAATCACACATGTTAAGAGTTTCCAACCCAGCATAAAGGAAACCATAAGGGGAATCTGAGAAAGAAGGAAAACGACAAATCACACGGAGACGATCTAGGCGAAGTCAAGCTCAACGTCCAAGCGGACAGCCTCCTCGTTGGAGTTACCACCAATGCCGTCAGCATCGGCGAGGTTGGAAGTGTAGGCGTTGATGACAGAGGCGAGAGCGTTGCCGATGGTGGAGCACTTGGAACCGGTGTGGTCGCAGATCTTCATACCCTGGACCTCCTGGCCAGCGTTCTGGGCCTGGATGGCGGACACGTCCCAGCCGGACCAGCCGTCGTTGCTAGTGTTACCGAAGTCGAATTCACCCCAGGTGCAAGAGTAACCGCCGTACTCGTCAGTGGGAAGAGAGTCACCCTTGGCAGCACCCCAGCCACCCTGGGAGTCAGAGTCGAAGGCGACGTAGCGAGTCTCACCGGCCTTGATCTTGAACTCGAGAGCCGAGTTGCCGTACCAGCCGTTCAGGCCACCGTTGGGACCGATCTTGTTCCAGAACTTGACGGTCCAGTCGTCGGACGAGCTACCCTGGAAGCGGACGACATACTGGTAAAGACAGGCCTTGTCCTCGCTGACCTCGATGATGTTGCTGCCCCAGGGGCTGCCGACGTTGCCGGAGTAGTAGATGGCATCGGTGGTGCGCTTGGCGTTGGACTTGGCTCCGAAGCCCGAGCGGGAGTAGCTCGACGAGGTCGCAGACCACGACTTGCAGGTGCCGTCGGCAGAGGAGACAACCGAGGCGGAGCTCGAAGTAGCGGCAGCAGCGCTGGCGGCAACGGTAGCAGAGGCAGCGACGTTAGCGCTCACCTCGATAGTGGCAGCAGCCGCGACGGTAGCAGCAGCCTTGTTGGACTCGACGGTAGTCGTGGCAGAGCCGGACCAGTCGTTGACCCAGGACTCGAGGACACCATCGATGACAGCGTAGACCTCGTCACCAACGTTGCGCTTCTCGTGGTGGTGGTGGCGGCGCTCATGGCCGTGCATACGAGCAACGGAAGAACCAGCCGTCAAGGCGGTCAACAGAAGCATGGAGTTCTTGAGCTGCATTGCGAAGATTGATGATGGAAGTAGTCTTGATGAGAGTGTTTGCTTTTGCTATGAAAGAGGTGCGAGACGAGGGTATCACGGATGTTTAAGTTGAAACCACAATCGAGACCAGGGTAGACGCAGTTGAAAGAGTGATTGATAGGCAGTTCAAGTGAATAAGGAGTGACAAGAGCAACACAATAATGAGGCCCTCGACCTGAAACAAGCAATCGACAAAGGAGTGTGGGTTGCGAGCACCTGGAAGAACGATGGATTGAGGGAAAGAAGAAAGGGAGAAGAAGGGAGGAGAGATGAGGGAGGGGGAAAGAAAGAATTAAATTCGAAATTGAAAACGAGCGAGCATCGAGCCAGACTCTCACCGTCCAGTTGGGGATGGGGGAAGTTTGTTGGTCAAGATCACGGATTGAAGGCACACCAAGACCCGTAGAGACCGACAATTAAATGAAAAGGGGGGCGGTTCCTGAACTAAAGCCAACTCTGCGCAGCCATTGGTGGTCTGCCCCACTGAGACCGCGGTTCGAGGCTCGGATTTCCCTGGATTGTTTCTGTCGATCCGCTTGTATCATACCGTTAGATTACCGTGCCTGGTACCTTACATGCACATGAGTGATGGGTGAGATGGGTGAGATGGGTGAGATGGGTGAAGATGGGCTGTAGTGGTAGGTTGCTGAAGCAGACAAACAGAAGGTTCGACGATCCAACCACAACCACAACAGCAACAACAGCAACAATGCAAGGCCTCTTCATTTCCATCTCTCACCAGTGGAATCTCCACGATCTCTCTATCTTTCCGACACGTCATAATCAATGTATCTCACCAACAGACAAGTCACCATCACACTGCTGTCCGCGACATTCGTGATTGATTAGATCTCGCGGATGGCTTCTATCCACCACAAGGAATGCTGCTGCCCGATCTGAGGAATTCAGCCCATTCAAGCCATCATCGCGCACTGCTTATCGATACGTGCCTGCTGAAGAGTCACAATCTGCAGGCGCACTGCCTGCAACTTCGTCATCCCCTGCGAGACCCAGCTCCCCCCTCGCCTCTCCTTCTACGCTCTATCCGCAGCCAGGACAACCACCGCTGTAATTTCAATGGACCACGTCAGGACCCACGAGGGTCACCGTTGTGAATCATCGGGCAACCAACTAATGATGTCAATAGCAACGGTGCGATGGACATATCGCGGGGGAGACCGATAGAGACACTGCTAAGGACTTGTGGATGCCCATGATACAGGATGAATAGGGTGGGCAGCGTATCAGTTTGACACGTACATTGCCTATACGGACTGAACAGTCTCATTGCCATCTATTCTTGCTCATTCAATATCCGACTACTCTCTCTAAGCAGGTCGAGAGTCGGTGCGCGGCGGTCGTGTTGCCCCGTCGTGTTGCGGAAATGCCTACAATACGGACGGCCTTTGTTACGGAATGGTCGGTATTGTGACTGCCTACACGCTGGACACGAATACCCTCAGGGCCCTTCAGGGACTTCAGGGTCTGTTGCCCCTCCGTCCCTGGATGCCATCAGGCAAGCCAGCCGGCGCCATGAGGACCCTGGATAACCCCCAAATCGAGAAACACCTGAAACGAATTTCGCGGTCGGATGGCCGCTGCAGAAACACCCTCATGGTGAGCAGCGACCGCAACAACATAGGCCGAGTGTTATTCCACTGTGTCTTACCAGTACGAAACAGACCATTGGAATTGAATTGACTTGGTCGCGCCCACTGACCATAACCAAGCCCACAGTAATGTCAATCGCCACCCACCAAAGGTTGGCCCGTGAGAGAAAGCGACACCAATTTCAATGGTCGAAAACTCAGTTTATCCACCTTCCTGTGTGACCGACGTTGGTCTGGATCACTTGATTCTCGAGCCCGTGCTTGCCGAGAGCCCTCAGAGTACTGAGGCCAGTAAATAAACAACGTTCCCTTGGATGGTTGCGGACTGGATGAGACGGAACCAGAGTTGCTCAACTATGGAACAACGCTCGGAACCGCGAGCCTTTTTTCGGTTACTTGAGAATGACAGGAATGGGAAATCTGCCAAGTTACCTCGCCCCTAAGTCTAGCACTAGACCAATTCATGAATAGCATGCCACACTCCTTTTTTCTGGACTTGGGAACCTCCAAAATTAGAGTGTTGCCTGTCCGGTTTGAAATGATGCTATTCCTGTCAAGGAGAGCGACTCGTCAGCTCTTGTGCGATCTTCCCCTTCCATCCCGTGTCAGGTGACTTGGTGACCGGAAAGCGACTCAGGCACTGCCGGTTGCCGCGGACGAACAACAAGGTTGTTGATTACAGTGAGACTAATTAGCTACCTAGTAGCATCCTGACCTTCGGAAATGCACACAGCATACCACAGCAACAGTTACAATATTTACATTGACATTGTTAACAGATCTCTAGAATACAGTAATCATGACAGACATAGTTCGGAGGCGACGATTTACTTCTGCAGCTCAACCCCGCCCTCGAAGGCAGCGCCGCCCGCCTCGGCGTCCACCTTGATACTCTCGTCGAGCCCGCAAACGCGGAACAGCATCTGTGGTGTCATGTCCTTACTCAATCCTGGGATGCCATCCCTCTTGAGCTTTTCCATCGCCTCCTGCATGGCCTTATAAGCTGGACCGATGGCTGCGAAAGGGAAGATGATGATCCGAAATCCCATCTCCTTGGCTTCCTGCGCCGTGATGTCCGGTGTCGCGCCATGCTCGACCATGTTCAAAAGCAGTGGCCACCCTGCCAGGTCCTGCACCACCTGTCGAGCCATTTCCTTAGATGTGATGCCCTCGAGGAACCCTACATCTGCCCCAGCGTCGCGCGCCGCCCGCAGTCGTGCCACACTTTCCTCGTAGCCGCGGACCTGCAGGGCATCTGTTCGCGCAATCACCACGATGTCGCTACCAATCCGCTGACGAGCCTGTACGGCAGCGCGAATCCGCGTCACGTAGGTGTCTTGGTCCACGAGAATCTTGCCCCCAAGATGGCCGCAGCGTTTCGTCTGAACCTGGTCCTCGATGTGAAAGGCGGCAACTCCAGAGCGCGAGTATTGTTCAGTCGTGCGAGCAACCATGATCGGGCCGCCGTATCCAGTGTCCGCATCGGCAATGACGGGCGTGGTTGGGGAAAGGTTGGAGATCATTTCCGCATTGGCGCGCATGTCGTTGAGGGTGCAGATACCCAGATCCGCATGGCCGTGAACGGAGGCAGCTGTACCGGCACCCGTCTATGCGAGCTTGTTAGCAGAATTGAGTGTGGCCGGGCTGGCGTTGCCACTTACCATGTAGAGGGCATTGAAGCCTGCCCCGAGAGCAATGCGAGCGGAGAAACCATCATACACTCCGGGAGCGACGACGAATGCCTCGGGGTCCGCGAGAGCCTGTCGTAGGCTTGTGGCTGCTGTTACCATAGGCATGATGGATGTTGGCGGCTGTATACACGAGTAAGGAGAGTAGTGTTTCAGAGAGAAGAAAAGTCAATGTCGTCGCCACTCAGAGTCGGGTCTTGAGGGCGATAGAACTGGCTTTATAGGGCGTTGATCCATTGCCCGAATCCCAAAGTTGCCTCACCCATTACTCGTCTCGAGCCCCGACCGTTCTTTAAGACCCATAATTCTTCAAGGCAGAAGTAGGCTTCTAGAAAATGTCATAGCTGCTCAACCGACATCGGCGGACGTTAGGTAATCTTTCGGCCTAGGTTCGGATTTGAGAAACACAATGCCATGGGCGAGTTCTCGGCAGAGGCGATCGATCAGAGCATTGGCACATATAATTCCGGATGGCTAATGATTTTTTTGAAATCTTGCAAGCTGCTTGCCGATACTTGCCGATGCTTACCGAGAGTCGCATTCGGCTCGGACGGGGAAGGGGAGGTTGAAGGCTTTCAATCAAGCAGCAATAATGGGAAGTCGGGACTGTCCAGTTGGCAGGTGATTGCGGGCTTTTTCTGCCGTGCCGCGATTCAACCCCAACTCCGCTCCGCTCCACTTCTCTCTCTTTCCCTCTTCTTCGCTGCATGCAATTCGCCTCTGCTCTCCCTTGGGCGCAAGAATGATCTGAAACCAATTCATCGGTCTCTTCGAATCGATATACCTCTACCTCTCATCCCTCTCCTCCGATACTTCCTCGACAACCACCTCCATGGCCCGCTCCGCTATTGTGCAAGAATACGCCCCTCCGACCTCCGCACCCACGCTCTCCGTTGATCGCAAAGTCACCCACGAACGCCAACAGAATGGCGTCGCCCGGCCTCAAGGCTACCGCGTCTCGTGGCATGCGAATCCCGCGGTCGAACTGCATCATTTCGGGCAATCGCATCCGATGAAACCCTGGCGGCTCACTCTCACGAAACAGCTGGTGATGGCCTATGGCATGCACCATGCGATGGACCTGTACCTGGCGCGCCGCGCCACATACGAGGAGATGGAGGAGTTCCACACGCCCGACTATCTCGACTTTCTCCGCCAAGTGAACCCGGGAGACATGGAGAACTCGGAACAGAGCGAGAACATTGCGCGCTTCAACTTTGGGGACGACTGCCCGATCTTCGACGGCCTATACAACTACTGCTCGCTCTACGCCGGCGGCACCATCGACGCGGCGCGTAAACTGTGCAATAACCAGTCGGAGATCGCGATCAACTGGTCGGGCGGCCTCCACCACGCCAAAAAGTCTGAAGCGAGCGGCTTCTGCTACGTGAACGACATCGTGCTGGGCATCCTGCAGCTCCTCCGCCTGCACCCGCGCGTCATGTACATCGACATCGACGTGCACCACGGCGACGGGGTCGAGCAGGCCTTCTGGTCGACGGACCGGGTGCTCACAGTCTCCTTCCACAAATACGACAAGGACAACTTCTTCCCCGGCACGGGGGCGCTCGACAGCACGGGGCCGACGCACCCGCTCAACCCGGGGGCGCACCACGCGGTCAACGTGCCCCTCCACGACGGGATCGACGACGAGTCCTACATCCAGCTCTTCCGCGACGTGATCGGGTCGTGCGTGGACGTCTACCGGCCCGGCGCGATCGTGCTGCAGTGCGGCGCCGACTCCCTGGGCTGCGACCGGCTAGGCTGCTTCAACCTCAACGTCTCGGCGCACGGCGCGTGTGTCGCCTTTGTCAAGACCTTCAACCTGCCGCTGCTGGTCGTCGGCGGCGGCGGCTACACGCCGCGCAACGTCTCCCGCGCCTGGGCCCACGAGACCTCGATCCTGCTCGACGCCCAGGACGTCATCGACCCCAACATCCCCGAGACCGTCACCTTCCGCAACCACTTCGGCCCGGACTTCTCGCTGTTCCCCCCGCTCTCCGAGATGCGCAAGCTCGAGAACAAGAACCCCCGCCCCTACCTCGCCGGCCTGCTGCAGTCCATCCGCGAGCAGCTCCGCTACATCGAGGGCGCCCCCAGCGTGCAGATGAGCTTCATCCCCCCGGACATCCTGGGTCTGCGCGAGGACACCGAGAAGGAGATCGAGGAGGAGACGGCGCTGATGGAGGAGGAGCGCGAGGACCGCGCCGGCGGCGGCAGTCTGGGCAAAGCCAGTCGGCGGAGGGAGCTGGAACGCGCCGCCGGCCAACGGGGGGAGCTGTATCAGTAGGGTCTTGCGGGTGCTATGCTACCTACGACGGTAGTGTATCTTCTTTCGATCGTGTTCTTTCATACGGGGGTCATTAGCTGCATGCCTTGTTTTCCTTTTGTTTTCCCGGTGTTAACGGTGGGACTTTTCCTTCATGGGATGAAGGATACTGGCGTTTTTTGGGTTTCATCTATGGGAGGCGGACAGTGCCATATACAGCATGTGCAGTTTTGCAGATAGGTTGTGATAACCTGTTGTTGTTGTTGTTGTTGTTGTTGTGTCTTGTATGATAATTGGTTTGGTGTTTGGAGGCATGATATGAATGTCAATCTAGACTATTTACTTGATCTATGGGGGAAGGGAAGGTTACTACTAAGAGTATGCCATTCTGAAGGCTATTGCTGTTGTCAGACTACAGTAGGTCATAGCTGGGCTGGAGGGCAGTGGTTGTACTGTAGTCTACTGTACTTGGTCGTAGAAGGAATCAACCCATGACCGACCGAGAACTTCATGAACCGAGATGCCTGCTACAGCCACCAAGGAAAGCACCCACCAACCTTGCACGCTCACAACCAGTCTAAGATACTACAAATGAACACCCGAAGTCCAACCGGCAGGAAAGGTAATGAATAGGTATTATCATATAACGATGCCAAGCAATGAAGCTCTATCATCCACTCTTGTTTCTGTTTCTGTAATCACAACCACGCCAGAGTCCACAAAGCCGGCAAATGCGGCCACTTCTCCTGCCACGCGGCGAGAATCTCGGGCACGCGCTCATCGAAATTCCGCCTCGCCTCGCCCTGCCCATTCTCCCAATCCCCCGCGCCCTCCCCAGCCTCCGCCCCGGCCGCCCGCCGCTCCTGCCTCGCTGCCTCATTCAACCGATTGGCCAACTCCAGAATCGCCTTGCCGCCGACCAGCGCCTCCTCATGGTTGTCCTTGATGTCGACATTGAACACATGCACTGGCCGGTTGAGCGGGGCGCCCTTGGCCATGAGGTCGTCGACGACGGCGTCCCAGCAGCGCTCCTCGCAGGTGATGATGACGTCCACGACGCCGCCCTCGGTGCCCAGCGCGCCCTTGTCCCCCTTGGCGACGTGGTCCACGCGCGGTAGGCCCGGCACCCAGTCCTGGAACCGCTCCGGCCCCCATTTCAGGTTGCGGTTGCGGTCCAGCATGTTCAGCAGCCCGTTGTACCGGTACAGCCGCTCGTCCTTCGCCGTCAGCTCCTCGTACATCTGGCTGTAGCTCGTCGTGTTGAAGTGGTAGATGTTCGGCTGCGTGACCGTCGGCCCGGGGAGGCGCACGAGTGACCCGGTGCCGAACGAGATCACGGGGAACGGCGAGGGGGTTGCTGTTGAGAGGCGCAGGTGTGCTTCCATGGAGCGGTTTTGGTTGGAGGCGCACACCGTGCAGAAGCGGAGTTTGTAGGAGTCTGCGTCGTTGGTGGAGGTGGTGGTGGGGGGTTGGGTGGTGGAGGAGGTGGTGGTGGGTTCGGGCGGTGCGGCATTGTCGGTTGTGGTGGTTGCGTTGGTTGTGTTGGTCGTTAAGCGCGTGGTGGCGCGCATTGGTTCTTGGTGGATTGGTTCTTTTTCCTGTTGTTGTGGTTGGGTTTGTGGTTGTGGTTGGTACTCCGGGGGTGGTGGGGGTGGGGGTGGTGCGGAGGTTGCGGTGGTTGCTGTGGTGGACGCAGTGCCTGCACTGCTGCTTGTTGAGGATACTAGTCGCGGGTCGTAGGCCATGATGGGCAGGTAGGTAGATAGGTAGTGAAGAAGAAGGTAGGATGGTAAAGGTAAAGGTAGGAAAGTGCAGTGTATCTTATGAGGCTAGCCTATCTGGTGAAGTGGGTCCACGTGGGAGGTTTTTTTTTTCTGCTTTTACGCGTTGAATATCTTCAGAAAATCTGCTGTTGTTGGGTTGTGTTGTGTTGTGTTGTGGTCGTGTCGTTGCTTTGTTCTCTGTCGGTTCAAGTTAAGGAGGTTGAAAGATGTTTTCACTAGGGCCCTGTAATGTCTACTCCCAGTCAGAATAATCCATCCGACAAGTTCTGATGATGATAACAAGCGGGTAGGAAATTGCAGGATCAGGTAAAATATGCGTATAAAAGATTTGTCCGCATAATTGGCTCGGACAGCTCCAATAAAGATAAACTCATCATGCTGCTGCAAATAGAGATGCAAAGGGGAAAAAAACACACAACTGCGATATCTTGAATACATACCTTAAGGTGGCCTCTCATTATTTGTGGCTCATTTACGTAGAAAGTCTACAGGGTGAGTGCAGTTGCAGTTGCAGTTGTTGATAGAAAGTCACGGGCCGCAGCCCTGAAGAATTGCGAATGGAAGGAAGTTTGCGTCCAGCGGGAAGCTTGCGACGACGCCGCTTTTGTGCTCGTTGCCGCTGACTCAGCATACCCGCCGCTGCTAGCCCGCTTTGGGACGGCTTCTCCAGCACGGGCAGTTGTTGATCATCACTCTTCATCCCATCCCAACACTCGTACTACAATAACTACAAGCAATGCTATGCTTGCTATCTGTCGCCTTACTTGCTGCCCGTGAAACCTCCCATGCAGCCTGCAGCTTGCCTCTGTTGAAACAGGTGTAGAGTATATCGCCCACAGCAAGGGATGCAAAACGACCCAGTCAGAAGACGGACGACTGATCCCAGAACCCTTCGCTGGTCATCTGGCCCGGTGCTTTTCACGTCATGCTGCACCATCCCGAAGGAGCCTCTGGGGAGAAGATCACGGGAAGCTGAGGGGTACGATGAGGCCATGCTGCCTCAGGGTTGACGAGTGTGGCTCACATGTGAGATACCCTCACGGCTAAGCAGCGATCGACCCCAGGCCCTCCAAACCCAGGGCTATAAAACGGTCGATTATAGACGTCAATGGAACAAAAGTCCATGACTCCCTCCTGCAATAAGGTCGAAACTTGAAACATCTTTGGGCTGTCATTCCCAGTCACCCCCACCCCGCCAAGCCGGTCGCCCCTCTTGTTTACCAGGTGCAGCAAGCAAGCAGCCAAAGCCAAAGCAGCAGCAGCAGCAGCAATCCCGGAGGGGTGCAGAAAATCCCAAGCCTCTAAAAGGCCACAAGATCGAAAGAAAATTTAGGATCCCAATCCCTCTCCAGACCAGAAATACCAACACGAGCGCTATAGTAGGACCTCGTTCATCTGGAGGCGAAAAAGCCCACCAAAGAGTATAAATCGTAGCCTTGAGACAAGGCAAGGCAGACGATCAACGTCATCCGATACACCGAAAGATCGCCCCTCCTCCCTCATAGAGACAGACTTTCATATAAATTCAGTAGACTCTTCACCGGTGTCTCTCTGGTCCACCAGAATTTCTCAGACGATTATCTTGAGACCGCCTCTTCTGACCTGATCGTGGCTTGTGGCGCACAGCTCACAGCACCCTAGCCGAGCGGCTGTCACCGTTGATTTGATTGAAATTAATTTCACCTTCTGCTCGAACTAAACACGAAAAGGGACGAGACATACGAAAACGAGAAGGAGAGAAAAAGGGTCTAACGGGACGCCATCAGTGGTAGTTGTTCTTCACTGCCGGAGCCTGCAGCAGGAGATTTTTCTTTGCTGATTATTACATATTTTTCTTCGTTTCTTTTGCCTTCTATTCCTATTCTTTCTCTCTCGACTTCTCATCTTCATTTATAGCTTCTTGTTGGACACGGGAGAGATCGAATTCACAGCCTTCTCCCAAACAGCCAGAATCCACGGATAGTCATGACCATAACCATTCCCCATATCCGACGTCGTTCGTCGGTGGCTAGTCCCGCAAGTGAGTATAAGAAGTAGTGGTGGTTGAATGCTATTGTTGCTGCCGTGGCTTTGACCCGGAGGTTGAGATCCCCTCCTTCTCTCTGCCTCCTCCCCACGTCATATTTTCTCTCCTCCCCTCCTACTCTCACACTCCCTCTCTCCCTCTTCCTCTACTCCCTCCTTCTTTCCTCCCAGCCCAACACCACTTCTCTCCCTATTGATTTGCTTCTACGCACCCGTCATTATGTCTGCTGACTGGGGCTCTTTCTTCCACTCAGGTAGCAGGTCTTCCCATGAGGAGCCGAAGCCTGAGAATGTGAGCGGGGACGATGAGATTGTCGAGCCCGATCAGGGCAACGGTACGTATGGATCAGCCCCTCTCCCCACCTCTAAAAAGAGGTTGTATACATGAAAAGACAGAATCAATAGGCCTAGAACTTCGTTCACATCTACAATCTCCCGCCAGAATCATGGCTTTGCTGTTGCTGACCGGCCCTGTTAGTCCTTTCCCACATTATCTCGCAGCTCCGACCGGGTGCAGATCTCAGTCGGGTCGTCCTGCCTACCTTCATCCTCGAACCCCGATCCATGCTGGAGCGCATCACAAAGTAGGTGGAGACGATAACTGCAGCGGAATTGCGGTCGCTGACTTGATTGATCCTCTGACCAGTTTCATGGCACACCCCGAGACCCTGCTGCCTATGCCCGATATCGATGACCCCCTCGAACGTTTTGTCTCCGTGGTCAAGTTCTACCTGAGCGGATGGCACATCAAACCGCCGTAGGTCCTCCCACTCTTCATATCCTTTGTTTCCAACGCTTCCGGACCCCATTAACGAACCCTCCCCCCCCCCTCCGCAGCGGTGTGAAGAAGCCGCTGAACCCGATCCTGGGCGAGACCTATACCTGCTACTGGGACTACCCCGACGGAACCCGCGGATACTATATCTCGGAACAAACCTCGCACCACCCGCCCAAGTCGAGCTACTTCTTCATGGCCCCCGAACACAACATCCGCATTGACGGCACCCTGAAGCCACGCAGCAAGTTCCTCGGGAACTCAGCCGCCAGTATGATGGAGGGCATTGCGATCCTGCGCTTCTTGAATCGCGGCCAAGACAAGGAGAAGGGCGAACGATAGTAGGTGGTCCTCAAGCGCTCGGGGGTGACTGGAGCTTTTCTAACGCGTCCCAGCATCCTGACGCAACCTAACATGTACGCTCGCGGCATCCTGTTTGGAAAAATGAAGTACGAGCTTGGTGACCACAGCTACGTGCGCTGCCCGGAGAACAACCTTGTCGCCGACATCGAGTTCAAGACCAAGGGTTATTTCTCGGGCACCTACAATGCTATTGGTGGAACGATCAAGAATGAGAAGACTGGTGAGGTCTACTACGAGCTGACCGGACTCTGGAACGGTGAGATGTACATTAAGGATGTGCATGTACGTTAACCAGCCCCTGCCCCACCTTGAGCTGTCATTCTAACGGCAACAGACCCATAAGAAGGAGCTTCTCTTCGACGCAACCCACGCCAAGCACACTCCCCCCTTGACGCGGCCTCTCGAGCAGCAAGGCGAGCGCGAGTCCCAGCGGTTATGGCACAGCACCGTCAAGGCCATCATCGCCCGGAACCACGAGGCGGCCACGGATGAGAAGACCAAGATCGAGGACCGTCAACGAGAGGAGGCGGCCAAGCGGGTCGACGAAGGTGTCGAATGGCACCCCCGACTCTTCCGTCGGGTACAGGGTGGGCCCAACGGCCCGGACGAGGGCGAGGAGGACTTGGACTGGATCATCAATGCGCATGTGTAAGTTGCCAGGCTTTGCGCACGTCGAGCGTGATTGGAATCGGAATCGAGACTAATATGGAGTAGCGACGCGCATGACCCTGAGCTTGCGGCCAAGCAGATTCTCGCCATCGCACCCATCCTGGACGGCCAGACGGAGTCTTCCGAATATCAGATCCCCCCGCACAAGTCGCACGAACCTGTTCCCACTGACGAGGTGGCCAACGGTGAGGCGCCTGTTCCGGTACAGCCCAAGCCCGAAGTCGTGGAAGCAGTTGAGCGCAAGGATTCCCGCACCAACGATATCGACGCGTACGTGGATGCGAAGGAGAACTGAGCGAGCGAAAATTGCCCGCGAGTCCACGAGCTAAGGGATGCTCGCACAGCAATGGGACATAGGAGGGAACGGGTAGGGCAAGTCGGGTGTTGTGGATATGCCTTCCAAAAAGACCTGCACAACAGCCTATAATTATGGTTCAACACCGGCTTGCAGGACGAGCTCACTACCGTTTCGGCGTCATACTATACTGGATACCCGATTGATTTTATAGTACGGAACATGCGATTAAAAAAAGTTTCAACAAGAGATTTGGGAGAAAGGGGGAAAGGGAAAACGGAACGGGAACGGGAACATCAGGTCAGCCACTCTGATGTGGATACATACCCATGTTTCGTACACATTGGGAGGAAAGGCCGATGAGGGGAAGGAGCAGCGACCATTTTTCCTTTTTATTGTTATTTTCTTCAGCCTTAACCATAGACTTCAGCCTACTGAATGATAATATAATATTTCAATTGCAAACCGGTACGAGACAGATGAAAGAAGGGGTATTATTTGTTTGGTTCTGCTTGTAGATATTGCATATCCTGGTCAATAATGCAGTACAATCCAATAAATCCGAAGCGTGGAAATAGTGTCGCCAAATATGCGCCCTTACCGATATCAAACCGAGAATGATTGGAGAATGGCGGAAGGAACCCAATCGCCAGCTAGTAGTGTAACATAAATCCCAAACCAGTTCAACCCCCTCTCCCTCCTACATCTCCACCACCACCATCACCCTCCGCCCTGCCCTCCGTCTTCTCCTCCACCTGCACCCCAGCAAAAAGCTCCTCCCTCCGCTCCGCATACCACCGCTCCAAACACGCCCGCCGCTCCGCCTGCGTCATCCCCTCCACCACCAACGCGAACTCCGTCGCATCCGCGAACCCGAACCGCCTGGCCATACTACAGAACTGCCGCTTCATCACCTCTCGCGGCGGGTGGAATTTATACTTGACGTGTGGCTGCGGCTGACTGGATGACTGCGAGGACAGTAGGAGCTGCGATTGGGATTGCGACTGCGAGTGGCGGGTGGCAGCACCGAAGACCCGCTTGTCGAGGGCGCGGTGGTCGTCGGCGGCGAGCTGGGCGCGGCGGCTGAGGCGCTCCTCGATCTTGGAGGAGCCGATGACTTCGTTGTTGAGGTGGGTGTATTCGACGCCGGCGTTGGCGAGGATGGCTTGGATGGGGTCGTGGCGGGGTGGGGTGGTTTGGGTTTGATTTGGGTGGTGGGCGGTGCGGGTTGATGAAGAAGAGATTGAAGTCTCGCCGCGGATCATGGCGGCGAGGTTGTTCATGACGGCGTCGGTGGTGGTGTCTTCGTGGGTGGCGGGTTGGGGTTTGCGGGCAAGGAAATCGTCGGGGTCCTCCTCCTTCGCCATCGGGGTTAGGTCGATGTCCATGACTTGGACGCCGGCGCGGCTTTCGGCGACGTTGGTCTTGTTGACGATCTCGCGGAGGACGATGTTGTCGGTGCGGTAGGCGAAGAGGTTGTCCATGCCGAAGATCTCGCCCTTCTTGTCCTTGTTCTCCTGCACGCCGGTGAAGTAGCGGCGCTCCGAGCTGGCGTTGTAGCCGATGTTGGCCTGCTGCTGCTTGTAGATCTGGCGGGCGTAGACGATCTCCTCGATGGTGCCGACGGAGATGAGGCGGAAGACCTCGACGTCGCGCGACTGGCCGATGCGGTAGGCGCGGTCCTGCGCCTGCAGGTCGTGCGAGGGGTTCCAGTTGGGGTCGACGATCACCACCTTGTTGGCTGAGGTGATGTTGAGCCCCACGCCGCCGGAGCGCGTCGAGATCAGGAAGACGAACTGCCGCGTGTCCGAGTTGAACTCGTCCACCACCTTCGTGCGGTCCTCGTAGCTCATCGACCCGTCCAGGTAGCTGACGTTGTAGCTGGTGTAGTGGAAGAGCATCTGCAGCATTTTAAGGAGGCGCACGCTGTGGCTGAACACCAGCACCTTGTCGCCGTTGGCGTGCCACCACTTCAGCAGCTGCCGCAGCACCTTCCACTTGCCGCAAAACTCCGGGTTGGCGAAGTTGACAATCGAGTCCCGCGAGCGGTACAGCTTCTCCCACTGCTCCGGCACCGCCAGCTCGAGCATCTCCTTGTCCTTCTCCTGTTTCTCCGCGGGGTCGCCGCCCTGAGGGATGAGGATGGCGAGGTGGTTGCTGAGCTTCTGGAGCACGGCGATGGCCGGGAACACGTAGCTCTGCCACTTCGCGCCAGAGGGCAGGAGCTGGTGGCAGCACCAGCCGGATTTTCTTCCGGACCCGCAGTCACAGGGATCGGTGGACGTCTTGATGTGTGTGACGATCTCGCTGTCCAGGATGTTCTCGTAGGCCGTGGCCTGCGTCTCGGTAAGCGGGCAGAAGACGACCCGGTCGACTTTCTTGGGCAACTGGTCGGCGATCAGAGTCTTCATGCGCCGGAGGAAGAACTGCGGCAGGAGATTCTCAACAAGCTTTTGGGCGGTTGTACGGGCCTTGCGGAGCTCGTACACAGTGGCATCGTGCGACTGCCCGAGCTTGAGAGGCTCGGAGATCGTCTTCTTCCAGACGGTCACCGGGCCCAATTTGCCCGGATTGCACCAGTTCAGGAGCGTCCAAAGCTCCTCGTATTTGTTCTGAATCGCGGTGCCCGTGAGGCCGATCCGACAGAGCGCGTTAATCATATTCATCGCTTTGGTCGTTTCCGACTTGCGCTCCTTGATGATATGACACTCGTCCGCAATGACACAATCCCAATCCACCATGTTGACGGCATCTTTGTTGTGCAGGTAGGTGCTGTACGTGGTGATCAGGATCTCAATTCGCCCGGACCTTGCGGCTTGGAGCGCGAGCTCCTTGCTGTCACCGTGGTAAGTATCGACCGACCACCAGCCCCAGCGGGCCAGCTCCGAGATCCAGTTCTTGATCAAGGTCCCCGGACAGACGATCAGCGTCCGCGGATACCAGCAGTCTTGCCCGCTGCGGCGCATCTTTCTCATGCGCTTCGCATCTCTTTCATCCCCCGTCTTCCCGTAGGCTGCCGTAAGGAAGGCAATCACCTGCACGGTCTTCCCTAAGCCCATATCGTCCCCGAGGATTCCGCCCTTTTGGTACACGAACAACTCATGTAGAAAGGCAGCGCCGTCCACTTGATATTGACGCAGCCACTGCGCGATTGGGGCGGGGATCAGCCCCAGCGAGTAAGGCAACGTGATGTCCTTGTAGTGATTACACGGCCTCAGATGTTGAAAGGCCGGCTTCTCCTGCAGGAACTCCAGCCGCTCGTCGTCCGAGAACTCGACCTGGTCGTAGCTGGGAGGCAGCTTCAGGCCCGACGCCTTGAGATGCTCCGCCCGGCGGTCGAACTGCGCTCGACGCCTCTGCAAGTAGTCGGGGAGGGTGTATTCCATCAGCTCATCCTCGGAGGAGTACTCGGCGCCATACTCTCTCACCGGGCGCCGCGGCTTGGCTTTTGCATTTGGTTTCGGGAGTCGGCCAACGAAGGCGTTGGTGGTGGGAGGTTCGAGTTTGAGGGGCTTGTGGGCGTTGCTCTTCCGCGCACTCGTGGACTGCCGCTTGCGTTTGAGGGACTTCCGGTTCTTGAACTCCTCGTAGGCGGCCGCGCCCTCGTTGAATGAGGACGATGCATTGTCGCTGTCGCTGTCGCCGGCGATGTCCACGACGGCGATGGGGGTTTTAGTTTCCGGAGGCGAGGACCGCTGCTTGAGAGGTGTGCGGGTGCTCGTCGAGGGACGCGGTGTTCTGTCACCTGGGGTCGAGAGTGGACCTGCATTCACATTCACAAGGTCAGAGAGACACCAGCTTGATGTTTCCGAACAGAATACGGAGACATACGAGGGAAAGCAGGGCGGGCGGAGGGACGTGGGGTGTCAAGGTCATCGTCATCTGTGCCGATTGTAGTGGCATCCGAGTCCCCTGGCTCCCATCCTGAGCCCATGATGAGGCCGACTGCCAGATGGATGAGTTGTTGTTACCGACATGAAAATGCAGGTAGTGCAGGTTGAAAGAAGGGTGGGCGGTTGAAGATGCGGAGATGCAATACGGCAGAGGATGGCAGCGCCCAGTGGGTTGGCCGGCTTCCCGATTGGGCAACGAGCTGATCCAACTGAACCCAGAATAATTCGGCGCCGAAAAGTCAACCTCCGCAACCTCAATCCCCTCGCCATTTCTCCCTCCGCTACTCTACGCGCGCCCTTGAACATCACTCTCTCGATCTACTCCTCGAAGGAACGTCATCTTTGGACGGTTATCACCTCAGTTTTCCTATCTCCGACTGTGCCCCTCCGTCGCAGCCACAAAAGTCGAATTGCACGTTGGTGCGGGGAGCAAAATCGGACTTTCGCAAGTCTCGCCCTTTTCTCATCTCTCTCTCTCTCTCTCTCTCTCTCTCTCTCTCCGCCGTCGCAACTCATAAAAAACCACGCCCTTAAACACCCCCCCCCCTCCCTCCAACAAACAAAATGCCTCTCGACACGTCTACGACATACCCGCTCACCAAACTACGCCTGGATGGCCGACGCTGGAACGAGCTGCGGCTCCTTCAGGCGCAGATTTCCACCAACCCCGCCAGTTCCGGCTCGTCATACCTGGCCATGGGCAACACGGCGATCATCTGCTCGGTCCACGGGCCCGCGGAGGGCCGTCGCGGGGATGTCTCTGGCGGGTCGGCGGGCTCGTCCGGGGCGGTCGTGGAGGTGGACGTGAACGTCGCCGGGTTCGCGGGGGTGGATCGGAAACGCCGTGCGGGTGGAAGTGACAAGTAAGGGGAATCCCATGCCTACGAGGAGCATATACTTACGCATCGGACATCGCTAACCCTATTTGTTCCTATCTGTGCAGACAATCCTCCCGCATCGGGACCATCCTCCGCTCCGCCTTCCAGTCCCACCTGCACACCTACCTCTACCCGCACAGCACGATCAGCATCCACGTCTCGGTGCTGTCGGCGGACGGCTCCCTGCTGGCGGCGGCCGTCAACGCGTGCACGCTGGCGCTCGTCGACGCCGGCATCCCCATGCCGGGGCTGCTGTGCGCCTGCACGGCCGGCATGAGCGGCAGCGCGTCCACGCCCCGCGACCCCACCAACGACTTCCTGGACCCCCTGCTGGATCTGTCCCTGCCGGAGGAGCAGGAGCTGCCGTTCCTGACGGTGGGGACAACGACGACGGTGCCGGTCGGCGAGGCGGCGATGATCCACGATGACGAGGACGAGATGAAGGTGTCGATGCTGACGATGGACTCCAAGGTGCATTGCTCGTATGTGGAGACCATGCTGGCGGTGGGCATCGACGGGTGTAAGCAGATCCGGGAGATTCTGGAGGGGGTGATTAAGAAGTCAGCTCGTCGGTGATTCTTTTTTTTTTTTTTTCGGTGTTTGGTTTGTTGCAATGAAAAAGCATGGCAGGCGAAATATTTGTGTATATACCCCGTGAAATGAATGCCATGGGCGGTGTTAGGCGTGGTTTTCTGAACGTTCTCAGTACGCTTTCTTTCGACATTGCAAATTCCTTTCATTCGGTCGACGTGGACGGTCGTGCAGTGGTCTGAGAGGGCCCAGGGGGAGGGGGCGAGTGCATAAATCTGCTCAATTCTGCGCGCGCTGCATCTTCCCCATTGGCCGGGTCAGGGGGGGGTATGGGCTCGCTAGCGAGTGGGCATCGTGGTGCCAAAGTCTTGGAATTTGCGCAGGATGAGCGAGTTTTCTTTTGCCATGGTCGATGGATCAGACGATGGGCTTGGGCTGCGGTGAGCTGTGTTGAGGTTATCGTATGGTATCGATGCAGAGTGAAGCTGGCTATATCAACCTCCTGACCCCTGCTGTTCCTGCTGTTTCCAGACCACAATCTGATCATCCTCTCCGTCTCTGGACTCAGACAATACATCTCCCACATGGACATGCCCACTTCCACAACCATGGACATGGCCATGACCATGGCCATGACCACCAGCGCCGCCATGGGCACCAGCACCAGCACCGCATCCTCATCCTCCAGCATGGACATGGACATGGACATGGGCACAGGCAGCTGCCAGATCTCCGTAAACACCCCCCTCCCATCTCCTCCTCCATCCAACAAGAGAAGATTCCCCATTAATACCAAGGAAAACCAGATGCTCTGGAACTGGACCACAATCGACGCCTGTACGCCTTTCCCCGATCCCCAATCCCCAATCCCAACCCCACGCAACCCTAACCAAAATCACCCTCCTTTGGGAGAGGGGAAAAGGCTTCCTCTCCAAATCCTGGCACATAACCACCACGCGCATGTTCGCCGGCTCCTGCCTCGGCACCATCGGCCTCGTGGTGTGCCTCGAGTTCCTGCGCCGCGTCGGGCGCGAGTACGACGCTTTCCTCGTCCGGCGGGCCCGGTTGCGGTATCAGTTCCTGTCGAACTGCGAACAACCTTCTAGGACTTTCTCGGAGGAGGAGGGGGAGATGTCCCCGGCGCCGTGCGCTTCGACTTCTCGGTGCAAGGATGCAACCCCAGCAGCAGCAGCAGCAGCAGCGCCACCCTTCCGCCCAACCCTCGCCGAGCAACTCGTCCGCGCCACCCTGCACATGCTGCAGTTCGCCGTGGCGTACTTCGTCATGCTGCTGGCGATGTACTTCAACGGGTATATCATCATCTGTATCATCATCGGGGCGTTTCTGGGGGCGTTTGTGTTTTCGTGGGAGGTGATTGGGGAGGGGGTGGTGGGGTAGGTTTCTTCCTCTCTCTCATTCTCTCATTCTCTCATTTTTTTTTTTTGCGTTGTGATTGTCTGGGGGGTTCTTCGAGCTGGAAGAGAATGAATGGGGCTTGGGGCTTTTCTAAGAGCCGATGGCTGACTTGATATCTATCTGTTCAGGAACGATGCTACCGCCGTGACGAAGTGCTGTGGTTAAGATACTGTACATCGACCCTTGCGGGGTTGGTCTTGATATATGGCGCTGGAGATGATTAGGGTTGAGACGAAGTCTGCGATGCAGTTGCATCAAGCGGCGTTCGAACTGCTAGAGGAAAGGCGATGATATGGGTTACGCAGAACCATGGAGAGGGAGATCGATACAGTATACATGGACGGTGGAACGGAGGACGAGCTGTATGAAGTATTGATCCAGAACTAGCCTTGTCATATAACTACTCCATCCACAACATAACACAGCTCACCACTCTCTACACCGTAGAGTAGGGTAGAGGAGAGTAGAGTAGAGTAAGATACCAAAAACAACAGAACACCTCAATTGTCCACTACAGTCCAGTCAAAGTCCAGTCCAGTAGCATCGAAGCCCGAACCTATCAACAAACAGCATAAAACCCAAAAAAGCAGGTAGTAAGTAGTAGTAAGGTAGGTCAGTCCGGGCGAGCAATTGCGCAGAACAAACAATCCACAACTGAACCCTACAAAGGCACGTTCGACCTCCCCCTCCACCTCAAAAAAGTAATCACATAAAAAGAATCCGACATGACCTAAAAGCAATGCAGAAACAAAGTCCTCATACTAAAAAATCAAACCACAGCATAGCTACAGCACAATCGATATACCCTCCAGCCATAGCAATCTACAACCCTCCTTCAAACCCCTCCATCTCCACAAGTCAACGACTGTAAAGCACAAGCACCAGCACCAGCACAAGCACCAACACAACCTCCCAAAATAAGGAGCTACTAGTCAACTCCTCAGTTAAGTAAAGAACCGGAGATTATGCACACCACAAGGCAAGAATGCAGTTGGCCGTGCAGACGGTTACAGTTGCAGTTGTAGTCATACTGCGTGTCGGAACCAGACGGCAATAGCCTCCGGGTACTCCGTACTCATCAGTCCGTCCGAAGCCAAAAATTACCCCGCTATCTCAGGCGGGGTTGGTTTGCCACTCGACCGAAATGTCCCTCCCTCAGCCCCCCGTTCTGACTTCATCATGGCGTAACACCAGGATTCTATCTACTCAAGCATCAGTGGTATAGGATGACGAGTCGCATTGGGGCTGCTAGTCGGTATCTCGAGTTCATGTTTTATGCATGCACCTACGGTTGTTGTCTTACTGCAGCTACTACATCTACGTCTGACAACCAGACGGAACATATGCAGAGTTCAATATGGACACTCTAGATTACAGCATACCAGAAGAGAGAGAAACATGGGAAGCAACTAGATGAGAGAAAGAAAAAGAGAAAGAGTCCTATTGGTCCACCTTAACTCATTCTTCTTTTCCACCCTCCGTATCACATATTTTTGGCTTGTTAAATGGCTAAAAATTGCTTACGCCTCACCGCAGTTGACGATCTTGGGCTTGACGGCGGAGCGGACATTACCGGAGCTGCTGCCGACGGCCTCGAGCTCCTTGACGACCTGCATGGACTCGGCGTCAGCAACCTCGCCGAAGACGACGTGCTTGCCATCGAGCCACGAGGTGACAACGGTGGTGATGAAGAACTGGGAGCCGTTGCTGTTGAGTTGGAAGTTAGCGGGGGCTGTGCCTTGGGGCTCCTGGCAGATAATTAGAACTTACGTGTTGGGACCAGCGTTGGCCATGGAGAGGAGACCGGGGCGGTTGTGCTTGTGTTTGAAGTTCTCATCGGGGAACTTCTCGCCGTAGATGGAGCGACCACCAGTACCCTGGATGATGAGCATGTCAGTCTAAATTCTGATTCCTCGTCAACCAGCGGGCAGTGGAAGAAACTTACGTTGCCGCGGGTGAAGTCACCACCCTGGAGCATGAACTGGGGGATGATACGGTGGAAGATAGAGCCCTTGTAGCCCTGACCCTCGGGACGCGTGCAGAGCTCACGGAAGTTTTTGGCAGTCTTGGGGACGTCCTGCTCGTAGAGGTTGAAGTTGATGCGGCCAACCTTGGCTGGAGAGTCGAAGAGAAAAAATCATGTCAGCCAGAGATTCTCTTGCCATTGGCAGACTCTATTAGAAGTAAGAGAGAGACGAAGCATGTCTTGACCTCCTCTCACCCCGTCACAGAATGCAAAAGAGGGGTAAGAAAAGGCTGCTCCTCTCCCTCTCTCCCTCTCCAGGCAACAGCAGTAGCAACAGCTGGAGAGGCAAAAAAAAAATCAGAAAAAGAGAATCACGATCGAGACTTACGGGCGCTGGTGCCCACAGGGGCGTACTCGACTTCGAAGAAGGCCTTGGTGTTTCCAGACATGGCTGCGGATGTTTGATGGAAAGAACGAAGAGAGAGGAAAGAAGGGGAGTTGCAATTGGGGATGGAGAAGAGGGGACGAGAAGCGAAGGACGAGCAAGGTGGGGTTATTGTTGACCTCAGGCTTCGGGAGAACATTGTTGCTGGAGGGGCAGTTCGCACTATACCGCTTCAGGGTCAGCTCGTTGCACTTCGTCCCGCCACAGCCACCAGCTGTGCAGTCTTCCCGCTTGGTCATTCGCGGAGCCTCAGGCTGCCAACCAGGCTAGCAGGCTAGCAGGGCGCGACTCAGCTGGTCAGCAGCCCCCAAATTGCAGTGCCGCTGTCGGACCTCCTCTTCCATCCACTTCCATGGAGAGACGCGCGCGCCTCATCATCAAATCCCATCCTCTAAGCAGGATTCTCAACCAATTGGGGTCGGGCAGAACAGGGAATGGAGGTGCACTTACAGAAATTCAAGCTTACAACTGGAAGAAGATTAAAGATGGTGCAATGGCTGCTGGTGTGGAGAGGAAAGGGAAATCAAGCTCAAGGGGAAGACATCGGACCGGCGAAGAAAATATTCCAGCCAGCTCCCCAAAAGAGTATGGCCGCGGATTAAGTAATACCACCTCAGCTCAGCTTAAAGGACACCGCAGCCACGTGATCAGCCACCTCGACTACACTTTATACTGTAGCAGTACTGAGTTACTGAATTGTGATACCATTGTTATTGACAATTCTGGACCCAAGACTGTCCAAATCTAGAAACAAAATCCAACCAGAAGAATTGAAAGGCTGACTGCTGCATCAACAACTGATCAACCGTTCCTGTGCATATCAAAGCACAGCTAACCCCACAAAAGGGCTATCGAAGGTGCAGAAAAAGGTCACATCGCTAATAGAGGAAAGTGTACATGGAGCGATGATAAGAAAAACAGCGAAAAAAAAAGGGTAGGGTTTGAAGGGCAAGAGGTCTCCCACCCAACACCGAGAACGAAAGTAAAAGAAGTCATAAAAGCTCCTCCAGGTATCAACGTCTCATTCCGCATGGTTACTCATTGTCATGCACAATATATGCAGAAAGATACCGCCATGATTGGCAGTACAAGTATCATCGCTTGCGTGGTGGCAAACAGACGACTAAGAAAAGTCGGGAAAATATGTAGGAGAAGTGAAGAGATAAGATACAACATGTCTGGCCATAGACATGAATATGAAGTAGGGGGGTAGAACTATCGGAAGTCATCTTCCTCATCGTCCAGTTCATGAGGGTCTAGCTGATGAACAAGCTCTTTGGTCTCCCGAGCGATCTCAAAGGCAATGGGTGGAAGTTTGTTGGTGATTGCGCGGAGCTCGGCGAAATCAGAGACCCCTTCGCCCTCGGCGGCGGTGCCTGTCAGCCGGTCCCGGTGCTGTTCCAAGATCTGGATGATGGAGCCCGCATGTTGACGTAAAGTGGGATTGACTTCAGGGCCACTGATGTAGTGCTGCGTGGAGGAGTTTACCTGCGACACCACAGAGGAAATGGCAGAGATGTGGGTGCTGATGGTGTTAAGCCCTTGTTCAGAGCGAATGCTAGCTACAAGAGCCTGGATCGACTGGACGAGTCCGTCCGTTTGATCCTCGAGGTAATACTATGTTCCAAGTCAGCATCAGCTTACAGGACGCCAAAAAGAGCGGATGCACCCACCTTGAGTTCGTGGAGCTCGTGGTCCACAGACTTCACGGGATACATTGTATGCATTCCTGCATTCATACCGGGGGAGGCAACCTCGTGCTCGGCAGGAGCGCTCATGGCACTGTAAACAGAATCGTTGCGGCTGAGCCGACCCTGGCTGGGCGCCACACTGAAATAGTCGGGGGACTTCATCTGGGCGACTTGCGCTTCGTCGTCCTCGTCATCGTTCAATTCGTCTGCCGGAGTAGGCCGAATCTTCACAACGCGGATCAGCCCAATGACTGCAGATGACAAGTGCGAAGCTGCAGCGTCGAGGAGAGAAAGCGGGGAGAGTCCACCGGAGCTGGCGAAATTGTTGGTCGCAGTAATCATGTTGTTTGCAGTAGCAGATACTTTGCGAGTGGCCTTGGCACTCAGCGCGGAGAGCTCCTCGTTGCTATCTTTGCGCAGTTCCACATCGTGCAGGATGTGGCGCACGGCAACAACGACCGCTTTGATCTGCTGCATGACCAGCTGATGATCATCCTCCCGCGCAATGCGCAGCAGTTCGTCGATGGAGATCTGGAATTTGGTCACATGCACATCCATGACGAAGCCCGTCTCCTGGATGAACTCGTTGTCCTTCACGACGCTCGCGGCATCTGCGCGCAATTCCGACATGCCGATGGACGAGGTACGCTGTCGTAATTGAGTCTTCGCTTTGGCGTAACGTGCCTTCCATTGTTTTACCTCCTCTTCCAGTCGATGGACCTCCGTCGTCAGCCGCTCTTCCTGCTCCCACTTGGTATGACTCTGCTCCGATAAGGCCCTCATCTCCATGAGGAACCCTGCTGCCTCCCGCCTGACTTCTTCGGTCACCTTTTGTTGCTCTTGCAGCTCCGTCTGCAGGCTTTGGTGCTTGATTTCAAGGTTACTGAATTTGGCCTGCAACTCAGCATCACCCGTGCTCTGCCGCGAAACCTGATCGATCTGACTGCGTAATTCCATCTCGATATCCTGCTGTTCAGTCCGGACCTTCTCGAGTTCTTGCTGCAGGGAGTGGTTCAGGTCTTCGGCCTGCGTTATTTTGCTCTCCAGGTCCGACTTGATATCCTCCCACTCTTGGCGTTCTGCGACACTGATCTATTCCACCCGGTTAGCTAGGATGCGTTTTGACAGCAGCAAACCCACATACCTGCGATTTGTCTTGTTCTTCCTGGTATCTTGAAAGCTCCTCGTCTTTTGTTTTGACCAACTCTTCCAGCACGCCCAATTTGCTCTGGTCTTCCTCGTAATTCGAGAGTTCCTGATCCCTCAATTTGAGCAGCTCCTCTAGCTTGGTCACTTTTTCTTGGAGGAAGGAGACCTGCGACTGGGTCTCTGCCAGCATTTTGCGGTCACCATCTCCTAAAGTTGTCCCGGTCCCTCGCCTACTGTTGAGAACCACATCCAGGCCAAACGCATCACTGCGCGCATCGTAGTCGTCTTCCGTCCCCGCCGCGTCGTCATCATCCTCCACCATGGTACTTTTATTGGGCACAATTGTGTTGCTCTGGAACGACTTCGCCGTGGGGCCATCTCCGTTCATGCTAGGCGGTGGACCTCCTAGGGAACCCTGACGGGGGGGATAACGCATAGGACTCGGCGGCGGCATCGCACCGGGCGGATACCGCGGGGGTCCCCGGTTCTGTGAATTGCGGCCCCCGGGGCCCGGCGGAGGAAACCCATTAGGCGGAAACCCGGTGGGAGTGGGAGGAGGGCGCCCGCGAAAGCTCGGGGCGGGACTGACGGCGCGACTGGCATCTCGAGCTGGAAACTGCGGGAACCGACGCTCGAGCTCCGTGTATACATCCGTCGCAAGATCTCTGAACCGCTGGTGTTGCAGCGAGGCCAGCTTCTTCCGTGCCTGGTTGCGCTTCTCGTGGAACTCCTTTCGCGGGGTAAGGAACGGAGGGATATCGGGACGAGGGGGCCGGGAGGGCGAGGGCATTGCCTGCTGTCGTCGGAGTAGTTCATCGTAGACGTCCGTACTGAGCTCGTGGAACTGGGTGGGCGAGAGTCGCAACAGCTTGTCGCGAGCTTTGTTCGATTTGCTATTGATGCGATCTTCCCGATATGGGCCTTGGAGAAATCGGCGCAGAGCGACGTAGTGTTGGCCCAGGACCTCCTCCAGCCGCTTCTGCCGCTTGGAGCGGTCGGGCAGGGTCCCATCGCTCGATCGCGCGGCCACGGAGCTCGGCGGAGACGGGTTGCCAGCATCGCTCACGGGGCCCGAGGAGCCATTCGGGATTCCCTCCACCGTCGACGAACCACTGGGGACGCCTGATGTTGGGGGTGTCGCGAGATTGCTGCGTGTCGAAAAGGTCGGGGAAAAGGGCGGGTCGGTTTTGTTGTATTGGTTGATCCCGGACCAGTCACTCCCATCCACGGAGACAGGCGACATGGTCCCCGAGTGACCGTTCATGAGTAAAAGAGATGTTGGTCACTGAGGCGGCTCGAGCAGACCGGGGGTGCAACTATGCATGCGAGGATGTGCGACGGGCGGAAGTGCGGCACCCGGGCCATCGACCAGGCTCGACGGAGGGTTTGGTAGAGGAGTGGAGTTGTAGAAAGATATCGCTTGTTGCTATCGGTCAGTCAGACTCACTGGGAAGACCTTGACGCAGAGACCAGTTTTGTCACTTTTGAAGGGGTGGTAAGAAGAAGAGTTCAGCAGCGACAATAGGAGACTCAGTGAAGACGAGCCGGTACGGGGGGGGGGGGGGGGGGGGGGGGGGGGGGGAGGAAAGTAGTTTCTCGGCCAAGTCGGCACGGGCACCAATAATGGAGAAGAGACCAGCAGCAAGATGAAGTAAACAATGAGAACAGGAAAGGTCGGATTAGGATCAGATTAAAGCCGGGCAAATTAAGCCACCGGGGAAAAAGTCGCAGCCACCAGCAGGAGGAGGAGGAGGAGGAGGAACCTTGGAAAACAGCCTCCAGGAGAAATAGTCCATGGGTGAGTGAGAAAGAAGAGTGAAATTAGCAGTAAGTTAGTTGGGTTTAGTGAGTGTTGAGCCACCGAAAGAGAGTCTAGCCGGAAGATTAATATTAATGACTGCGGCAAGCAAAAGAAGCACCAGCCCAGCCGCGGGTGTTTTTTATGAGGTACGAATACGGAGGATACAAAAAGGGGTATCGTATCGTATGGTTCAATCCACAGTCCACAGTCCACAGTCTACAGTGTCTGCCTAGTCCTTGAGCTTCACTTACTTCAGTAGCAGTCCAATCTCAATATTGACCACTCCGACGTTGTGACAGGCACCGACTCTTTCCGACCTCTCTCTCTCTCTGCACATTCCCTCCTCTGCAATGCTGAGCAGTCAGAAATGATGCGGAGAAGCTGCTCGACTGTCTCAGATTGACCCCGGACAGACCAGATAGACACCCGCCAGACTGATAAGAGCCCCGATCGTCTAGTCACTCTACAGTACTTCAAACGCGGCGTCAACATCCAGTGCAGAGTCGATCATCTCCAGTCACCAATTCAACTCAACTAAAAATAAATGCTTCATCCTCCGGCTAATGTAGGTACGAAACCACGAAACCTCCGTCGTGCGTCAGTCCAGGAATTCATGATTTCCTTCTAACCATGAATTACCATACGATGACTGGACGGACACCTTGAAACTCCACTCCTCCGCCCGGAACTGATCGATCGGTGCTGAACTAACGCACACAGTGTGGCGGTGGCTGCTGCTGCTGCTGCTGCTGGCACTGCATAATTCAAGGCACATCCATCCATCCAGTAGGTAACGTTTACATAGTACATTCAACCACTAACTAACCTCTTCGCTACCAACCCCTTAGACTCCTACAGTAAAAAACAAGCATTTCCTGCCCCCATCCCCCTTCTTTCAATGCCATCCACCCTCTTGAGGCTGGTCTCTCTTTTTCCTTCAGGGATGATCAGTAATAAGCCCAGCACCAATGTGATAAACCACTGGCCAGCCCCCAATATGCGCTTCACTCCAAGAGTCCAAGCCCCAAAACGGGGGTAGGGGAGCCCAAGAACCACATTTACACCCGCTCTCCACCCGCCCATCCACCCATCTGGTCGAGAACTTTCGCTGGCTAAATTACGAGTAGTTCAGGAGGTCAAACTCAGACTAACTTTGTTGTTCGTTGTTGCGTTGGCTCTGCCTGCCTGCCTGCCTGCCTGCCTGCCGAGATTGCGAGTCCCTCGCACGTTCGAATTCGCTTGGGGTCCAGAACCAACCAAAATGCCCCCCCCCCCCTTCAGAGCTTGGATCGGCTTACCTACTGTAGGTCTGTGTTTTTTTTTTTTTTTCTGTCTTTTTTGTAGTCGTGCGGGTAAGGATGGCAAAGCCCTGTTCATGCGACGAAGCAAAAAAAGAAAGAAGACATAGAAAGTAACTGAGTGGTACTCTATGGCCCTTAGGTTTGAGCTATTGCTTGGGATCTTGGGTTGCGATTGGTGTGCTGTTTTCTGAGTGACTTATTGCTCACTAAGTCATGGTAGTCAGCCTTGGGAGCTTACTACTTACTTTCTTTCTTTCACCCTCCCTCCCCTAAGCTTAGGCGTAGGCAGCATCTCAGGGGCCGGCAACTCGTAGGTAGCGTGGAGACTCCATGGCCATGGCATCGAGGGCTAGAAGGTTCTACCTCCGACTCAAGTTCCATGCAGTGCAATCTGATTGACTTCAGCAGTGAAATTGTAAACGGTAGGCAACAGGAAGCACACACACACACTCTCTCTCTCTCTCTCTCGACGCTATAGACTCGATCTCCGTTATCCGTGAATTCATCCAAGATGGTCTCAATTAGTCTGCAGCAGTCACGCTCCCCAGTTATGGGATTCCCGGAAGGCAAACAACCGTCAACTGGGTCCCAACCCAAGAGAGGGACAAGAATTCCGGAATACTATCCAATGCAACAACCTCTGATAAGGGAGATCATGCATGGATAGAGGAGGAACCCGAAGCGGGCAGGATTGGAAGTATAGTAGTTGCTCAACACCGCGCAGAGCACCAGGCTCCTCGGATTCGAATGTAGAAACCCAATGATGTGTGACCCATCTGATAACACTTGCGGATGCTGGAATCTCTCCTACAATTCTATAGAAATCTCGAATGAGTCTGGACACGAGGCCTTGCTCGCTCGGGTAAAATCTCAATTCATTCACCCCCCCCCCCCCCTCAAACCCACTAGCGACATCTCTAATCACCCTTCATAGTTCATACACATTCAATTGAGACCATACCCCAACGCGACACCGATGGTATATGGAACGTTTTTTCTCCGCTAATCTCAACATATGGCACCGGCACGCGACAGGTCCAGATCAATCAACCAAAGCGGATGCACCGGCACCTCCGGACGGCACCTTTTCGCCGCGGCATTCACAAACAGCGTGTGCTCCCCGGGTGTTAACGGGGCTGGGTCCTCCGAGCAGTGACTCGCTTCCATGACCGCCGGGACCTTCTCCTTCCCCAACTCCACCAGCCGGGCAAGCTTACTGATGACAGTCGAGCGGCCGTGGTCGATGGCCGTGAAATGCGACGGCTCGTTGGCGGCGATGCTGCTGCTGCTGCTGCCCATACCATCCTGCTCCTGGTCTCGATGACTGTGACGAACATCTCGCCACTGCGCGATCATGGCCCCCCACCCTTCATGGATGTGTCCAAAGCAATGCAGCCGGGGTCTGGCGCGGGCGATGGCCTTGAACAGACCGGGGCAGCCGGCTCGTCGTCCGCGCTCCGAATGCGTATCGCTATGACTAGTAGTATAATCCATGATGCCTCGCGGTGGGCCGTGAGTGATGACCACATCGATCGGATCGCTGCTGCTGCTGCTGCTGCCCAGTTGATAATCATGGCCTGTGTCGGGGTGGTATTGGAAGCCCCAGTCGCCGCCGAGCGAGGGGGTGTACGGGCTGGCGTAGACGGTGAGCCGCGCGCCGTTGGCCAGGGTGAAGACGTGGATGCCTTCGTCTAGCAGGGTAATCCCGCTGCTTTGCTGGAGGTCATCGGTGAAGAGCTTTCTGCGGACTTCCTCGTAGTCCCCGTAGACTTGCCGCACGAGGCGGCGGTCGTGTTCGTTCGCGTCGAGGCCGCTGGCGTTGACCTTCTGTTGGAAGGTCGGGGTGTCCAGGGTGAAGTCGTGGTTGCCGGGGATGACCAGTTTGAGGGGTGCGTCCAGCCGTTGCAGCTGCTGGATCGTGGTTTGGAACTCGGTCAGATACGAGCAGTCGGTCAGGTCGCCGCAGTGAATCACTACGTCGGCGTGGTGCTGGGAGCACTCTTCGGGGAGCTCGTGGCCGTGGGTGTCGGAGAGGATGAGGAAGCGAGTTTTGATATTGGATGAAATGGAGGTTTCCATGTTGGGTGTGAAGGATAGTTCTAGTACTTGAGGATTCGAGGAATAGATTCATAGATGACAAGAGGAAGAAGACGGAAGATGAAGAACGATAGATGAGCATGGAAGGAAGAGTCTTGAGTCACAAAAGGGAAGTATGCCCTAATCATGTTGCAATCCACGGATCTGTATTCCACCCCTATACCACAATTACGTACTACGGGCGATGCGTGGGCAGTCAGTCATGATGACGATCTAACTGATATAAGTCTATCAATACTATATACAGTACTTCTATAAGAATATTCTATGATAATCCCAGATGTCCGTGAGGACATCGGGAGGGGCCGCAACATCCACGTCCTCGGGGAAAGCACCGAGGAGTGGGCAATGCTGGCCGCACCGCCAACTAGGATGAGGTGACGGCGCAGTTCGGGTCGGACTAGGCGGGTGGTGGTGCGGAAGCACTCGATGAGTGCTTCACGCAGTGGTGCAGTGATGGGGCTGGACTTCGGCATGCTTCGAAGGTAAGAGACAAGAGTAGTTGGCCAGGGCCTCTGCGAATTTGGCGGAAAAAGTTAACCCCCCCCCCCCCCCCACCTCTTATCACCCAGCAATCGGCAGAAGCCCAGTAAACTTACTGGAGTATATTGTGAGCGAGGCTGGGGAGGGTCTGGGGCGGACTCGATCGGTCGATCAGAGTGAGCGTGTTGATATATCATACAATGGTATATGATATTCTCATATAATGTGGTTGATGCTAGCAAACTTACAGCTACGCTCCAGAACGCGAGGTTGTGTTGCTGGACGGTTGTAGACGCCTTCCTAAGGCACTGTCTTGTCCACTGCTCTTTTCTCCGTATTGCTTTGGTTTGGCTGTACTGTTTCTGTATACCGAGACACTGTGAATACATCAAATCCTCGTTGCTCCTGCCTCGGGAGTAGTCTGCCATATTCGACTGGAGCAGGCTTCCCAGGAAGCTGTTAGTAGGATGTGGTCCGTTGTGAAGGGGGGAGTTGAGCACAATGTCGAAGCTGTTTTTTTTTTATGTCTTTTGTACTGGAAATCTAGTCACATAGTCCTACTCATGTTGTGCGGGACAAGTCAGAAGATGGACAAGAAAAGTGCATACATAGTAAGATTGTGGATCATTCGCAAGTTTCTGGTAGAGCCCAGATTCGGAAGCTTCACAAAGTGCCCGCGGCCGGTGGCCATTCAGAATGCGTTGTATCTAGGATAGCGGCAGTGGCAGTGGCAGTGGCAGGTCAGTAGAAGCTACTGCTTGACCACGACTTTGATCATCCTCTACGTTGACAGGTGCGACCTACGGCTATAAACATGCCGACAATGAAAGTTGGTGATAACAGACATGCATTGGACCTCCACAATTATGTACGTAGGAAAAAAAACAGGTGACATTCCAGGTCATCATATTGTAACTACAGTCAGGTAGCTGTATAGGTTGTGCAATACATGCGAACGAGCTCGTCATTCGCTTTTCTTCTTCTCCGTCTATCAACAGCCCTGTCTTCACAACCAGGTAAACTCCTCCCCTCAATTAGAAAGTACCGACATGAAATGTGCAGAATGCCCGGATAAACTACCAGTGCGTATGCAGGAAGTAAATGTACAGTCGTAAAAAAGCCCGTCGGCGGAAGGGAGAAATGGCCAGAATTATCCTAACTAAATCATGGGCCAGATAGCCAGAACGGTGTCGTATGCAGAAGAAGACGGGCGAGCAGGTGTCTCTGAGGAGCGCGGGAGGGAAGATTCTGCTCAGTGGCAGGAGGGTTGGGGGACATGCATTCATAAGGCAACCGAGCGCATCGGACTTCACTTCGACGAGGTCATAGTGAGGCCTCGGGTAGCACCGACGGCAGCAGAAACAGGAGTGGCCGAGCGGGTCGGGGCAGCGCTACGGTTGTGCGCCATGTGCGCCCGGACAAGGTGGCCGGCAGCCAGGGCAGAGCACAAGCTCAGCTCGCCGGCAAGCACAGCCGCGCCGACAATGCGCGCCAGCTGGCGGGCATTATCGCCGGGGTTGGTCGGGTGGGAGCCACGCACGCCGAGGAGATCAAGCATGGCGGACTGTCCCTCGAGGATTGTGCCACCACCGATAGTTCCGACTTCGATGGAAGGCATCGACACAGCGATCTGAAGGTCGCCGTTGTAACTATCAAAGATTAGCATCGTATGTTAAAACTTGGAGGGTGTCGACTCACTTTCTCATGGTAGTGATACAGCTGCTGCTTTCCACGTTCTGAGCAGGATCTTGACCGGTAGCAAGGAAAATCGCAGTAACGATGTTGGATGCGTGGGCGTTGAAGCCGCCAATACTTCCAGCCATGGCACTTCCAATCAAGTTCTTGCTGGTGTTCAGCTCAACGAGGGCATTGACATCACTCTTCAACACACTCCGGACAACATCGCCAGGAATGATAGCCTCAGCCACGATAGATTTTCCACGGCCGTCAATCCAGTTGATAGCAGCCGCCTTCTTGTCCGTACAGAAGTTACCCGAAACAGAGATCGTAGCCATGTCGTCAAAGCCACACTCAGTAGCCATGACATTGAGTGCCTTCTCGACACCCTTCGAGATCATGTTCATGCCCATGGCATCACCTGTCGTCGTCTTGAACCGGATGTATAGATAAGTACCAGCAAGAGCAGTCTTCATGTGCTGCAGTCTAGCGAAGCGGCTGGTGGAGTTGAAGGCAGTAGTCATAACGCGCTGGCCTTCCTCTGAATCCAACCAGACCTTGGCGGCTGCGGCTCGTGCAAGGGTAGGGAAACCAACACAAGGACCACGGGTCATACCGTCACCAGTCAGTACAGTCACCGCACCACCACCAGCGTTGATAGCCTTAGCACCTCGACTGGTACTGGCCACCAAGACACCTTCGGTGGTCGCCATGGGAATGAAATAGTTTTGACCGTCAATGAGCATAGGGCCAGCAACACCAAGGGGCAGAGGCAGGTAACCGATGACGTTCTCGCAACAAGCTCCATGAACCAGAGTGTAGTTGTAATCCTTGTAGGGGAGCTTGGAGGTCTCCAAGGAGCCACTAAACTCAGAGGTGGTAGCAGTCCTGGCCACGACAGATCGACGGATCTTCACTGCGCGAGTGAAAGCGTCGCGACGGCTCATAAGATCTTCATTTTCCATGGTCTTCTCCAGAGCGTAACCGGGAATCTTGCCCTTCAAGGAAAGGTCCACGAGTTCCTCATCCGATAGGAAGGCAGCTCTCTTCTCCTTCAGGAAAAGCTCGCATTCTGCAGCGCTTCTCGTGGGACCATCCTGGTTGTTCAAGTCGATCTTAGGGTATACCTTGGGCTTCGGGGCTTCCATCTTGGGTGCAGCTTCGGGCTCCTTGATGCTCCATCTGGCCGCATTGAAGAGATAGCCATTCAGAATGATGCTCAAAGTGAGGGCAGCGATGATCCACTTGCTGATAACGGGGTCCTCAATGCTCTTCAGAAGGCTTTCGATCACGCGCCCACCAACAGCATCGAGGAACTGGTCGGTGTACTCAATCTCGAATCCCGCGCTCTCTCCGAGCGCAGCATAGTGGACAGAGGGATACTCCAATTTGTACTTGATGGGAGGGATAACTGTCACGACAGTCTCCTGCATCTGGCTCTTGGCGGCAACATAGACGGAGTCAAGACCATTCTCGGCGACCTTGAACGGGTCAATGGGGGTAGGAGCCAGAACATTGGAAACGCGCGACAGGAGGGGGATGCTAGTGGAATCCCGGAAAGGGATAGCCGTCAAGTTCACCACATTGATCAAGATGAAACCGCCAACCATCAGAATCTTGAAGAGACGGACGTTGCTGGACTTGAACTTCTTGCCAAAGATGCTGGTCTCGCTGTTGCCATTGTACTCCGATCCAGCTCTCGGCCAGTCATTGTTGGAAGCCACGTTCTCGGCAACACGCTGAGTAATCCCATCTTCCTCGAGAGCCTTGCGGAGCGCAACATGACGTCTAATACGGGTGATCTCGAGCTTGATGCAGAGAATCGTAGTGTAGAAGGTGAACAACAAGAGGCAGTCGAAGAACAGGATCCAAGCAGCAAGGAAGCAGAATTGCCTCAGGCCACCCTGGACGCCAGAAGCTGCACCAGCAGCAAGGATGGCAATCTCAATGCAATAATCGCGAACAATTTCGAAGCCCTGCTCTTTGATGGCAGTCTGGATAGAGTCCTGGATGGATCTGGGGTTGTTGCCAGCCCGGGCACCCTGCTTCCTATCCACGGAAGCGCTCAGGACAGCTCGGGTAAGGATGATCGACTTCTCGAATCCAATGGTCACCACAAGGAATGGAAGGCCCTCAGACAGCAAGAGCATGTTGATAGGCACTCCAAGCTTTGTTGTCACCAAAAGTCCGAACAAGAAGGCAAAAGCACCAGAGAAAAGCACAGTGGTAGCCAACCAGAAGTTCGATCCCAGACGGCGCATGGAGAAGAAAAGGGAAACAAAGCTGAGGTGCATAGAGAGGTAACCCAGGGTCATAATGACGATATCAATGGTCTCAGCGTGCTACAAAGAATTAGCAAACAAGTCACTGTGCTGGTTGCATTTTGTGAGGAAATACCTTGATCAGATCAACGAATGAGTTCCAGGCGTCTGCGAACCACAGCTTGAGAGCTCCAGTCGAGCCATAAGCCGGGCCACGGGCTGCCCTCATAATCCATTTCTTCTGTTCTCCTTCTTCCGCACCAGCTGAGGGTTCGGGGATCTCTTGCACGGCCTTCAGAAAATCGGAGACCTGCTCGAAAGGAAGAGCAAACACGAGAGAAGAGTCATGGGAGAAAGGCGAGAACAGGTTGGGTGTATGGGGAACCCGCTGGGCAGATGCGTTCGCAGGAATTGGGACCTCGTCGACCAGAGGGGCAGTCGATACCGACTTAGAGACCGAGTCGGGGAAGATAAATGTAGCCAGTGCCATGTGCTGAGCGGACTATCGGATCGAAAGGATCAGTGCATGAACAAACACAGATAGGTCGATCAAGCAGATACTCACCTCAGAGTCTTCGAGGGTCGGAGCATCCTCAACTTGCCACTTCCACGAGGTACTCTCTCCAAGGCGCAAATTCCTACTGCCTCTGAGCAGAGTGTCCACATCAACCTGGCCGGGTACATTGCGCGGGTTCTTGAACGAATCGAAAAGGCTTCCCTCAAGGAGACCAACA